CTCGAAGAAATGTTGAGGATTTTGAATGCTTTCACTGACAAACACCTATTTAAAACTAGAATCCAGATAATGGGTTTTATGTCTGTAATCCCCGCACTTGGGAGGCAGAGGTATGATGATCAGAAGTTCAAGATCATCCTGTGCTGAGTCAGGAGAATTGACACACGCTCAAGACCAATTTAGCGTACATATCAAGTTCCCCTTTCAAGCCAATAAAACAAAATTAAAATGCACATAGAAATTATTAGCTTAAAGTTTCTCATATTTCTAACCACACAATTTCATATTCATAATTTTCATGACACCTTTTAAAAAGGAAGTAAATTCCAGATTGCTTTAAATTCTGAAATGTTCTGTAAATTTCCCAGTACTGTATCTGATGAAGGACACAGAATACCCCATACAATGCCCATTATATTTATAAGACATTTCACTGACTGGTGGTAAGATAGAAATATAGAATGATGTCATTTCTTATGCTGCAAATGTTGGTTCACTCTCCCTCTTGCAGAAATTTCTAAAAATCAAGGAGGCCTTTCCTTTTTAGTATATGTTCTATTAAATGAAGAAATTTGTGTTTGTCATTGTATGTTTATATTTTTCTATTGCATGTATTTTTCTCTGTTGGTCCAGAAAAATTAACACAGTTCAGAAGGATAAATCATTTTGGGGTAATTTTTTTTTATTTTTTATTTTGTTGCAATACAAGAAAGGTCTAAGCAAGCTCTTCAAGAGAGTTTGCCACTGGAACCTTAATGGGATTCTATTTCCACATGACTTCTACCAGAAAATTATTTCCCTACATTTCCATGGCTACTCATATTTTTCTAAATGAAACATATTGAAATGAACCTTTAAAGCAGCCTCAGTGAGCACCTTACCCTAGGGCCTGGCTGGTTGCTTTTTTAATAAATTCATGTTGGTTATTATTTCCCTGCTCAAATTTCCGTAGCCTTTAACACTAACTTTGGTTTTCAGGTTGAGACCTAACCAGGAACTGATGCTTGATGATTTTGTTTGGGGTTTTGTTTGTTTTATTTTGTTTGGTTTTTACCCATTCTACCATCTTCTTTATTGGCCACAGCATTGGCATCTTTATTCAAGAGGCACAGAAATTATACACTGTCTGTTCCCTGAACATTCTTGCTGTGTTGACCTGCATCACCATTCAGCATTCATATCTGTGCTTGTATAACCTTCCCAGAAAATTTTTATTCAATTGTGAATCTAAAAAGCAGCTCTTACCTCTTTTTCTGGTCCTTTTTGGATTTTAGTAGTACTTGATGTTATATTCAGAGTATATTGCTTAGTGGAATGATTGATGACTTGGTATGTATGTATGTATTGATTGATTGATGCAGTGGCCCTCCAGTACATGATTCTCCTGCTTCGGCCTTACCAGTGCTGGCTGCTATCATAGGCATGCACTATTGTGGCCTGCTTTCTAATTGGTGTACATTTACTGATGGAGTGCCTATGCATGAGAGTAGACACTTTGTTTTCCTTGTTATCAATAATTCCTTAAACCATATAGCTTAGAAACATGCAGATTTGTTGAATAGATGAATTTATCAGACATTTTTTTAAAAATGTCTGATAAATTTTAATTTTTTTAAAAAAAAATGTCACTCACATTCCTATTTTATTCATATCCTGGGTACTCTAGCTAATATTTAGTGATGAGAGTATAAAAATATAAGACAAGCCTTTAAAAGGCAGAGAAAACTTTGCTCAGTAACTAATGTTTGTTTTTGTACATTGAATGGTTATAATTGATTCATTAGTTTTAGGACATTTATAATGGGAGAGTTCCCTTTCCTTACCAAGGCAGAGAGCCAACCAAAATTTTACATTGCACCACTTAATGTTTAGAAATAGATGAAGTGAGGTTACTTCTACTGTTGGCAGAGGCTTGACTGTTATCTAAAAGTTTAAACCAAAAAGAAAGTGTGGTTTCTATTTTTTGTGTCAAGATATTCTCCTTTTTCCTGTTTATCTACTCTCAGTAGTTATGTAGAAGAATGGCAGGCAGATTCAAGCGCAGGGTGGTATTGAGCTAACAAGCAACCACATTGGAAATTCTATCTGGATCCAGATAGGGTACTTGCTCTCTGGTTATTCTCATGGAGAGCATGATTTTGAGAAATCATGCCCTACTTCCATCAGTTTTATGCCAAAGGAGATGAGTGCAATGTAGACTTGCTAGGATAATTAATTGCATTGGCAATGTGATCTTTTTAAGTTTAATAAAGTATCAAAACTATAAGCTTGTGTGCCTATACATACTGCACCAAGGTTTGTTGTATTTAATTGTATATATTTATTGTTCTTGAAGTACTAGATATTGTAATATTTTAATAAGAACTTGACAATATTCATGTTAACAAAAATTTTGTTTCTTATGTCAGGGTTATCTTTAATTTATTTTTCAAAGGTTGAGAAAATAAAATACTTTGGGAAAGAGAAATATTGAGTTTCTTTTAACTTGGCTCTACCATTGTAATGTGGACAGTGTATAACTGAATGAGTATGTCTGAAATTTTTTGGTCCTTTTATGTTTGTCTCAACCTAGAATTTAAATGGAAAAATCACATTTCTTGAGTGTTAAAGCTACCATAGTAGGCAAATATAGCATTCTAATTAAATTAATTTATACATTCTAATTAAAATAATTTAAATAAAATAGAAATTATATATATTAGTTGATCCAATAATAAGTTATGAGTTTTAAATGGGTGACTTCATCTCCTGTGTAATTCAGTGTAGTGACTCTCATATAATAATACCCACAGAATATATGTCACTTTAATTTTAAATAGTTAAAACAAGCCTTCCCCTTCCTTCCCTTTCTGATTACTTGGTTTGTTTTATTAAATATGACTCATCACGTTTCCTCTTTACTCCTGATTTAGAACTAAGAGCCAACTAGAAACTAAGATCTAAATTTTGTTCCTGCTATAGTATCTTGGCCTAGCTTTTTTTTTTTTTTTTTTTTTTGGATCATTATTCCTCATTCCTTCATTGACTTAATTTTTTTTAAAGCTGGTGGGAAATATATGGAAATATATGTAAGATATAATAGAAAGGGTAAAATTAGTTGTGGCTTCTTGACAGAAAGACATTTGAATCTCTTTTAAAGATGAGAGGTTTGGACTGTGTGAGAGGGAAAAAAGTGAAAGTAGTTTCTAATTAGAAAAATAGAAACAAAGACATCAAGATAAGTATTTGTTAGTTATTTGTTAGTCTCCTTTTAAGACTCCTGTACCCTCAATGTCCCTATATCCCTACCCCCTCTTCTTCCATAAGGCTCCCTACTCTCTGCCCAAAGTTTGGCCTTGAGTCTCAGCATCTGCTTTGATCTCTTTAGGGTCCTGTTTTCTCTCTTCTGCCACTTCTGGTGTCTATCCTTTTTGCCATTCTGAATGAGATTTATGCATCCTTTCTAGGGTCCTCCTTAGGGTTTAGCTTCTTTAGGTCTGTAGATGGCTATCCTATATTATACAACCACTTGTAAGTGAGTGTATATAATGTGTGTCTTTCAGTTTCTAGGTTACCTCACTCAAGATGATCTATTCATTTACCTGAAAATTTTATGATCTTTGTGTTTAATAATATTGTGTAGATGTATCACAATTTCTGTATCCATTTCCTCCACTGTGAGAAATCTAGGTTGTTTCCAGATTCTGGCTATTACAAAGAAAGGTGTTATGAACATAGTTGAGCAAATGTCCTTATTGAATGGTGGAGCATCTTTTGGGTATAAGCCCAAGAGTGGTATAGCTGGATCTTGAGGTAGTGCTATTCCCAATTTTCTGAGAAAGCACCAAATTGATTTCCAAAACTTTGTACAAGTTTCCACTCCCACCACAATGGAAGAGGTTTCCTCTTTCTCCACATCCTCTAAAGGATGTGTTGTCACTTGAGTTTTTGAACTTAGGCATTCTGATGAGTATAATATGGGATCTCAGATTTGTTTTAATTTGCAATTTCATGAGACTAACAATGCTGAGCATTTCTTTAAGTGTTTTTCTGTCATTTGATATCACCCTGTTGAGAATTATCTGCTTAGCTCTGTAAAGTATCTGAGCTCAGAGGTCCTACAGAAACTGATGCACCAACCTAATACCATGTATGGAAAGGACCTAGATCCCCTGTTCAGATGTGGCTGATAGGCAGCTCAGTCTCCATGTGGATCTCTGAGTGAGGGGAGCAGGGGCTGCCTCTATTATGAACTCAGTTGCCTGCTATTTGATCACTCCCAGGCGATGGAGGAAGAGGATCCAGGCAGTCCTGATGAGAATTAACAAGCTAAGGGCATACAGCAATGTTGGGAACTCCCCCTTTCAGTGCACTAGGAGAAGGAGATGGGGAAGAGGGAAGAAAAGTGGGAATAGGCACAGTTGAGAGTGGGGACTTCAGTCAGGACATATAATGAATAAATTATGAAAAAATTAAAAATACAAGTCTTTATAGAACAGTGGGATTGGTCTGATGGTTGTGAACAAAGGTACATTGTAAATTGTAGGTTGCCCAGATTTAGCACTAAAAATGGCGAATTCTTCAGTTCCTTATATATAGGAATAAAAAACGAGGGTTTAATTCTTCATTGAGGCCACAATTTTAGCTCTTTATAGACTTTGTATAAAACAGTTTAGAGTAAATAGCTGCTACCTGTCATTCGTGATAGTTGTACATGTGTTTGCAAAGCAAGAATCACTACTATGTATATTCATGAATTACTGTGTTTTACTAATTTCAATAATTGCTAATAGCAACTCATGAGTTATCAATAGGGCAAAGATTACAGTATTGTGAGAGTACCTAAGTAAAGAAAAGCTGGTAATATTTTAAAGAGTATTATTTAGAATTAGCAATGCTTTTAGTTTTTTACTTTTATCTTATTTTATTAAAAAATTCACTCAAAAATTTTATTTTCAAATACTTATGCTGTTTTATTTGCTGTAAATAACATCATAATTTTGTTTGCTTTTTTTTTTCAGTTGTTTTGCAGGTCTGCAGCCTGGTGCTTTACCCAATCAAGTTTATTGAAACAGTGAGCTTGAAAATTTACCACGAGTTCAATTGGGGTTATGGCCTGGCCTGGGGTGCAACTATATTTTCATTTGGGGGTGCCATTCTTTATTGCCTGAATCCTAAGAACTATGAAGACTACTACTAAAACAAAGTGTGAAAACACACACATACAGGGGAAATCAACCATCAAGAAAAGTTTTATGTTGGCATCTTTTCAAATACTATTTTCTAAAACACTTGTGGCACATCAAACAGTTTGCTCAGTTGATTTTATATCCTTCACCTTTGGGCTGTCAACACCATAATCAGCTTTTATATCTCTTTTAGGGACCTGTACACGCTAAGAGTGCTGATTAGATGTAGGCACACACTGCAAACTTCAATATACTCATGCTATTTTTCTTGACAAGTGAATGGTCTGTATGACAGCAACCATTTTGAGAAGCCTTTTGGAATGAGAATTACCATAGTCTTTTATTGCCTGCAGGAGAGCAGCTGCCATAAACAACACTTAAAAGTTCCTTTGCTCTGACAAAAATTCTACTGTTGGAGCTCTTATCACTTGTTTATGTCATACAGTGACTACATTTGTTATTTGTTACTTGCTTAAGTGAGCTTTTGAAAAGCAAAACAGCTCTTTAGACATCTAATGAGAATCATAGATATAACTGATTAATTCTACCCTTAAGAATATTCTTTTAATAGAAAGTCATAGTTTGCTAATATCTCCTAAGAAGGAAGTTCAGGTTTGGAGATGTGTTTTCTATTATGCAGTTAGACTAGTATGCGACAGTCTCCTGTGGAATGGGGACAAATTGAGGCTGTCTGCTTTCTCCTGGGGCAATCAGAAAGAAATGTGCATGAATTGCTTTTGTACCTGTTTAAATCCTTTACCAAATTTTGCAGAAAACAATTGTGCATATGTTACAAGCTTATTTTTATAGATCATGGGCCATTAGTATAACTGGTAATAAGTTGTTCATTAATCCTCCACATACATGTACTTATCATGCATATAATCAATACTTGCTGTAGTGAAGGAATTTGAGTACTAACCTTGTATGCATTAGGAGACTTAGATTGTTATTCACAGTTAGTTACCATACAAAATTTCATATACCTTAAAGCTTTTGTTCTTTCTTCTCTACTAGATCACTGAAAGTGTTAATAGAATTGCCTAAGAAGAATAATTGAAATGCTGTTGATCTGAAATTTAGTGACTCTTTTATAAGCATCATAGTTCAAAAGAGAGTAGGAATTAGGATGATCACTTTGTGTAAAATCCATTAAAATACAATGCTGCTATTTTTGCAAGTATTTTAAATGTCTTCATTGTAAAAGGAATTGTGATAGATTTTTATAAATGTCTAAATGTCTCAGTAGATGAGTAGAACTTATTCAGTTGTCATCTGGTCCTCTGAAGTTAACTGATGGGCTGATTTGTGCACACAGGTATAATAAATTTATGTTAGGGAAATCATTCACTGACTGTTCCAAGAGAAAGAAAAAAATCAACAATAAGGAATAAGTGTGCAATGAATATCCTAGTGCAAACTTGTGTTAATTCTGTTTATTATAAAAATCTTGATAGTTTATGTATAATCCTATTTTTATATAAAATATACAATTCTAATATGAAAGTTAAAAATGATTATTTTTGTTAACAAAGACACTAAAATAAGATTGTTCTCATTTGACCCTCATGAAAATAGAAAAATTGGGTAAAAAAAATAAAAACTTTAAAATGCATCTATTTGCTAAAATATTATACAATCCATTAGAATCTGGACTGTGTCAAATAATATTTAATACTTTACCTTCCAAAGCAGACTTCTGCCTTCAGCTTATCTTAAAACTCTTTGCCAAGAAAAACTGCCTTTCCCTACCCCTAAAGTATTATATTCAAATGCCAAAAACAATTGTGAGTTTTCTATGGAATCAAAGTAAATATGAATACCTTAGTCATTTTTATTTTAGTAGTGATAAAAAATTATTACATGCATTTTAGCTATCAAGCTTTATAAAAATATGTGATTCTATGAAGAATCACAAGGAATTAAATGGAGGATTTCCAGAAGGGTATTAGTATTATAGAATATTTTGAAGCAGATTTCTTAAAATCATAAAATCCGGGGCAGACTCTCTTATAAAGTTCATTGCATATTGTCAGAACAGTGTAAGGAATGTGATATTTAGATAGGGGTTTCAGCTACTGACCATGGCCTGTTCTGAGATTATCTCTTTATTCTTGAATAATGGAAGATCAGTACTGTGGTGCTGGCATCAGTGAGGTTTGCTGGAAGATACACTGTGCAATTAGACAAATATATCAAGAGAATTATGGAAATTTCATTCTCTGTCCACTTGACAAGCCAAAAAGTGATAGACTATGATACAGGTTGAAGCACACTTATTTGTCGTCTACTAAAATGTAGATTGCTTCTGTGATTTTTCTCCCTTCCTAGTTAAGGAGCCCTACCTTATATTTTTACTATCACTAATATTAGGAACTTTTTCTTTACTAACCAAGTTTAGTACAGCAGGAAAATTGTTATTTCTCGTCTAAAGTAGTATTATGTCTATCAAAATAAACACAAGTGACAAATACAGCTACAATAGCATCATGTCTTAATAGCTTAGGTTTGTTTGATGTTCTCTAAGCAGAGTTGTTAATCATGAACCCATGGTTTATCTTAAAGAGATAATAGTCACACACACAGAGATCATAACAGTACTCAGCAGGGCTAGCTATTCTGATTTCTTGCACAAGTATTTAGCTTTTTGTAAGGTCAACATGTAAATTTTGAAGACAAATATAGAGAGACTTAAGTGTTTGAAATATAAATGATATATATCGATTAGCATGTACCTGTATATTATTAAACATGCGGTGAACCTCATAAGTGATTGTCTAATTGTATGGCTAGCAATGTAATTTATTCAGACTGTATTTTTGTATAGAGCAGCGCACACTAACCTATGCCTCTGTGTCCTCCTTAATGCCTAAAACTGTGCCTAGAAATTTCATCTTTCTTAAAGAAAATAAAATATATTCAGTGCTGTTTTGTGCTATTAGTTTCTCTCCTGCTTTTCTGTATTTATTATTTTTTAAATATCTGACATCTTTACTACTTAAATATGAGTTTAAGGTATCCTGGTTTCTTTTTCTTTTTCTTTTTTTTTTCTTAGTAGTCATATGGGAAAACCTGATTTTCACTCTAGTGATTCTTCAGTGTGGAACCCATGATCAGTTCTTCATTTCATGATTTTTGTAGTTGACCTGAAGTTATCTATGTGGAAAAAAATAAAAATAAAAGTGGTTTCACTGATAATAGTCACATTTTGTGTCTTCTCTTCTTTGTAAACACTTTAAAGTAATTTTGTAACTTGTCTGTCTTTAGTTCATTTTCTAATTTAATATATATATATATATATATATATACATATATATATATATATGACCCAGCATAATGTGACATTTATATAGTTTTATTTTCAAATGATTCATTTTTATTTATTGTACAATGCAATTGATTTCTCATTTTTGTTCAAGTGGATCACTTTGACTTTATCTTTACATTTATTTCTCCTATCTTAGTTTCCTCTACTCCTTCCCAAATGCTCTTTTTTTTTTCTGGGGTGTGTGTGTGTTTGTGTGTGTGTGTGTGTGTGTGTGTGTGTGTGTGTGTGTGTGTATCTGTGTGTCTGTGTGGCTATGTGCTATGGAGTGATCCTGGGGCCCCTATACATTCTAGGCAAACATTCACCAAGTTACACCCTCCAACCAAAAAATTTAGTTTAATTTTTCTTACTTAAATTCCAATCTATGGTCCTTCTTATCCTCTGCAAGTGAGTCAAAGATAACATCAGGAAATATCATATTCGTGTTTTGAAGCTATTTACATTAAAATGTACAGAGAGGAAATGTAATGTAGACCATCACATTTCCATACACTATGGAGATATGATATTTTTGTGTAGATTTCAGTGTTTGCAGATTGTGTTAATGCCAAATTGTTTGATGCCCTCTATTAAACAGTCCCTCTCTGTATCCAGTGTCAAACTGTAAATAGGCACATAATTTTATGAAAAAAACTAGAAAATTAAAATAGGAACTGGCCACTAACAGTTTGTATGAAGGAATAAGTAGAATCATCCCTTCAATTGAGCAAACTTTTTAAAACACAAGTTTGAATATAAATGTATTTGTCACAGTTTTTTCAAATCACATGAATCTTTAAATTTAAAGTATTTCCAGTTTTTCTGCTAAGAAAATGAGTATAATATTTAACATTCCAAACTCAAGAGAATTTTATAAATTCCAACATTTTCTAGTTTTTTTTTTTTTATTTGAGTAGTTTTCTTAGTATGACTCATTTAATGTATTATATTTTCAATATAAATGCTTACCAATTTCATGGAAAATTCTCCTAAGGAAAAATCACCTTTATAAACAGGCCTTGCCTGGTAATTATGCATGAACTAGTTTCTCTGAACTTGCAGATATGGAAACAAAGCTTCATTGGATATAACAAGGAAAGCAAATCGTTTAACTTTGGAGGCCTCATTGTGAACATAAAACAGGAGAGCAATTTCAATTTGTTTTTTGTTTTTTGTTTTTTTTTTTTTCATAATGGCCACGTAAAATGAGCAGTCATTTTAATTAAGTCAAGTCTGCACTATCAACAGTGTTCCATTTCCATAGTTTCAGTCATTTTATTTATCAAATAAATTGATGGCAAAATTGTGTATCCTGCAAAGTCCCTTAAGACATTATCAAATTTTCATTTTAGAACTTATTTTTAATGGGGTTTCAGAAGTGCAATTTCAAATGACGTAAGATTGAAAGTTTATTTATTTATTTATTTATCTATTTATTTATTTATTTATTTATTTTTATTTTTTTTTTTTTTACACAGGCTTTTATTCCACAATTCATTAGTAACAAATGCTCTGACAAATTTTCCATCTCAGGAGCCCGTGAAGTTAGAAACTCCCCATGTTACCATTTCTTTTACTAGCTCTGTGGATTCGATTCTCTGACCCAGTTGCTCTAGCCATGATTTTTTTTTTAATTTTATTTTTCTTTTTAGTTACATTTTGTTAACTCTGTGTCCCAGCTATATCCCGCTCCCTCATTCCCTCCCCAACCCCGCACTCCCTCTCTGGTCTCCTCCCTGCCCCTTTCCAAGTCTACTGATAGGGGAGGACCTCCTCCCCTTTCATTTGACCCTGTTTTATCAGGTACCTTCAGGGCTGGCTGCAAAGTCCTCCTCTGTAGCCTAACAGACTGCTCCTCCCCTGGGGGGGGGGGTCAAACAGCCTGCCCTTGAGATCCTGTTAGAAATAGTCCGTGAAAGTTTAAATAAAAGTTAGAATTTGGGGTTAGCAGTCAGTATCTTCACAGGAAGACTAATTTATTTGAATGATTAAAATCCTATGTCAAACTTTGGAACAAGATTATAACAACATAACCTCTAAAGCCAGACTGAATATCCAAACACTGCATAATGAAATGATAGAAGTTTCTACTGTAAACAATTTGGTACTCCATAACAATAAATAAACTATACTCTGAGCAAAGGTGGTATCTCATCTCAAGTGTAAGATGCACCCTCATCCATGTGAAAATTAGAGTACGTACAGACACTTGGAAAAATCTGTATTCATCTTCACCAGCTAGGTGACTCACATTTATATTCCAAAAGCAGATCTAAGGGATCCAAAGTTTAGTTAAGAGAACAGCAGCTGAACTGTTCAAGTGGAAAGGATAATATATGGTGTTTCTAAGCCAAGATTAACAACACACAAAGAATAGTCTTCTTTGTGAAATGAAGGCTGTGTTGAATAGTTCACCACAGAAACTCAGTTTTGGCAGGCAATTATTTCCAAGTTGAATGACTTCATAGAATGGCTATAAAAGAAACTTGGAACAAGTACTGGAAAACCATGTAATCAACCCACCGGAAACCTGGAATACTTCATTCTACATGTGCCAAACATTGATGAGCGCTCTCTCTCTCTCTCTCTCTCTCTCTCTCTCTCTCTCTCTCTCTGGTGTGTGTGTGTGTGTGTGTGTGTGTGAGAAAGAGAGAGAGAGAGAGAGTCCATATGTGAATTTTTACATGACTGAAGAGACATCTGTTGGTGGCCTCAGAATATTACCCTGTAAATGAAAAATAGCCAGGCATAGAGGTAAAAGTAAAATATTTCATGTGTAAGGTGGTAGTACATTCAATTGCCTCTAATTTTTCTTTGAGTTCATCATCATAAGAAATATCAATAACTCATAGAATGCATTTAATTTTTAAATGAAAAGATAGACCACAGGTTTTAAAATGCTTTGAGCTTGAGAAGTGTCTCAAGATTGCTAGGAATGGGAAGCTAAAATGTTAGGTCTAAATGGTGAAAGAGTACTATCCTTGCTGGTTTTTATAACTGCATATTAACTACAAAAGTCGATAATGCTATAATGCTAGCAAATTTTCTATGTAGGCTTCTGTACTACAAAACTACTTTTGTAGTGTAAGCCCCTTTTTGCTTGTACTCTGGGATAATGTGGCAACTTTTAGCATAAAACATGGGTTTTCAAGTTATCAACCCTTAGGTGATTCTTCCTGTTAAATATTTAGCTACTATGGTTCTTTTGATTTCAGATATGTAGTATATCAAATGAAAGCATGTTGTAATAACAGTTTTATAGCATGGTCTTGAAAAATGTGCTTCTATTTGACTCCAAGCTCTGAATTCTTTTGACCCTTGCACATATTTGCCATAAATATGACAAGCTGTTGAAATCCTTATTGAAAAATAGGTTTATATGCAGTTTTCAGTTACATTTTCTGTATGAAGACTTGGTATTTTTAAATGCTTCATTATTTTTTGTTTGTTTGTGTATGTTACTTTATTTGGGTTCTTTTTTTATATAGATGTATTCATTCCTTTTACACTCCTCCATTCTCTCATCTTGGTCCCACCTTCCCATCCCCTTCTACCCTTCCCCTTCTTCTCAGAAAATAAAATCTCCTCTTACAAACCCACCATGGCCCATCAAGTTGCATCAGGACTTAGTACATCCTCTTCTATTGAAGCCACACAAGGCAATCCAGCTAGGGGAAATTGATCCAAAAAGCAGGCAAATGAGTCCATGTCATATAAGACAATGTTCCCCTCATGTCTAGGAGATCCACATAAAGATCAAGCTGCCCATCAGTCAAATCTGTGTGATGGGCTTAGGTCCAGTTTTTGCATGCTCTTCAGCTGGTGCTTAAGTCTCTGTAAGCCCCTGTGGGCCCAGACTGGTTGACACTGTTGTTCTTCGTTAAGGTTTCTTGTCCCATCCAAGACCTTCTATCCTTCCCCACACTCCTCCACAAGACTCCCCTAGCTCTGCCCAATATATGGTTGTGGTTCTCAGTATCTATTTCATTCAGCTGTTGCGTGGAGCCCCTCAGTAAACAGTCATGCTAGGCTCCCTCTGCAAGCATAGCGTGCTATCATTAATAGTGTCAAGGGTCAACTTTCTCCTATGGGGTAAGTCTCAGATTGAGCCAGTCATTGGTTAGTCATTCCCACATTATGTTTTGTTGGTGAGTTGGTGTCCTCCTCCCTCTACTGAAGAATTGTGGAAAAAAAAAAAACTATTGCTCAGATTTCACTGAATAAACCTCAGTCTTTTGTGTACATCTTTCCGGTAAATTTTCACAATGTGGAATTCTTTAAATTACCTTTTCCCAACTTGTCAGGCTTATTTGAAATATTTTCAAATCCATCTCTGAGAGTCAATGAATGTCAGGATATATTTAGCCAGGCATTTCAGCTTTAGGAAATTCCAGTATGTTCTATTTAGGAAGTTGTCTCTTGTGCCAATGAGTTAAAGGCTCTTCCCTACTTTTTCTTCCAACAGGTTTAGTGTGTCCATTTTTATATTGAGGTCTTTGATCCACATGGATTTTAGTTTTGTGCAGAGAGACAAGTATGGGTTTATTTGCATTTTTCTACATGTAGACATCCAGTTAAACCAGCTACTACTAATGATTTGATGGTATCTTCAAATCAGAAGTGCATGAGTT